TGCGTTTACTGCCGGTGCGTGTTCTCGCAATGTGACACGATCGACGGGTCCGGTCGGAGCCCCTCGGTGGAGAAGATTCGCCCCGAGCTAGAATTTAGTTGAGCATGCAACGGTAACCGGGACAGCAAGTTAACAGGGACGCGGTGCTGATGGTCGCAGGAGGAGGAGGAGGAGGGAGGGGGTCAGAAATTGAGTCCGATCATCATGTCTGGACTAGGGGGGGGGGGGGGGTCACAGTCTGTTTCAGACAGGCTGTTAGTATTGTGACAAAATCATTGGCTTTTGCACTAAACTTGACCCCAATAATCCCAATTGTGACAGTGAGTTTTTCCAACAATCCCAGGATATTTATTTAATTCCCCTATTTTGCTACCATGAAATGTGTTTATTTCTATTCAAATTTTGCTACTCGAGTTTCTAATTTATTATTTTATTCCTATTTTATAGAAATATAAATGGGTATGCCCCAAAATGGATTCTCAGTTGGCTTCAGTCCTGACCAGTGGCAGCCTGGATGTCCAAAATGGCAGCCAGTGTGCAGAGGGATCAGGGCCAGTGACAGAGGTTTGTTTGGACCCAAAGGAAAAAACCTCACCCAGTACTGTACCAGGTAACCTCCAGCCCTGCTCTGTCAAAGCAGCAGTGACCATCAGGCAAGATGCTCTATCAATCAATGGGAAAAAGCCAGAGGTGGGCGGGACTTCTAAGCCAGCCTCTCAGGAAACAAGCAAGATTGGTGGGTTCAGACAGCCAATTACAGTGAAGACTGGAGTGCCTGTGTTGCGCAGCCGACCAATCAGACTCAAAATTGTTGTTCCCCCACGGTGCAAGAAGCCAATCACAAACTCTGCCATCAGCCTGACCAAAGACTTTGCTCGCTCACATTTTAGAAGACCTGTTTCGGTCTCATCTGGAGCAGTGACCACAGAAAAAAACAGAAGTAAAATCCAAATATCTGCTGTTAAGGTTAAAGAAGAAATCAAGGAAGTTACTTATCAAAAGACTGAGGACGCTAAACCAGAATCATTCCAAGAGACAGAGGCAGAGAGAGGGGAAAAAATGTGCAAAGAGAGACATGTTTCAGGTGCTAAAATCACCCTCACTGATGGGTCAGAAACTCCTTTAATTTCTAGCACAGCTACAGTTAAAATACTGAGTCAGCAAGGCATTAAAGTGGAAATGACAGAAAGAGAAATTGAAGAAAATATCCCTCTAGTTTTGCAAGACGTGGACATAAAGTCTTGTAAGACGTTTGATGAGGTGGGCATGGAGGAACAGACCGAACCACTGGACCTGAGTTTGCCCAAGAAAAAAGAGAGGAGGTGTGGACGCTTTCTGGAGGATTCTGGCTGTGAGAGCTCGCTGATTATGGAGGTAGATGAATATGAGGGAGAGGGAGACCGAGACATAGTAGAAGAGGACGATGAGGGTGACGGAGACGGCTCTGTGCTGCGTATGGACGGCACAGATACACTCGAGGAATCTCTCCTGTCTCCCTCTTTTTTTTCTACCTCTGTCTTTACCTCCCTCTCTTCGATAGATAGTGACACTGAAAACCTTCTTCTCATAGACGACCAGGGAATCCCATATACTCTCAGTCCAGATGGACTCAAAGTGCCGCAAGTCAATGCTTCCACGTCAGAGGATCCTCAGTCTGATCAGGCTAAGTCAACAGAGGTTGAGGGAAGGGGGTCACCGCAATTGGCCTCGTTAGCATATCCTAGCCGCAGCCAAAGTAAAGATAATGCACTAAATGCACCTTCGGATGATCTTTACGACTCACCAGCCCCTGCGACTCAGTCTCCATCACTTGGTGTTGATCAGAAAAAGACTCCAGAAGTCTTCACGAATTTGATTACCAACTCAGATCCCTCTAAGGCTGCAGAGTCGAGCATCAAATCTGTTCAGGCTGATGCTGTTCCTCCCCCTTCCTCTGGGATATCAGTCCCCACCCAGCCAATTCAGATCCTCACAAACCCTTCTACTAACGGCCCGATTCTCCTCCTGTCATCCTCCTCTTCCTCTCCTCAGCTCTCTTCCGCTCCAGTGGGTCTCTCGCTTCCGCTGTCAGTTACTCAGACCTCACCTGGTGCTTCTACTCCAATGTTCCTTCTCCTTTCATCTGTACCCTCCTCCTCCGGAGACTCTGCCTCTACCTCCACCCCTATCGCTGTTCTTGACCCCTCGACTGGTCAGTTGTCCCAGATCACAGCAGCCTCGGCCCCGGTCTCCCTGCCTTTGCCTTCTGGTCAGGTCAGTGCGCTGGGATCACCTCTGCCTGCGCTGTCTCACCCCGTCATCAGACTGAGCCCCAATAACCCCCCTGTCATCCTGTCAGGAGTGAATAATGTAAATTCTGGCTCTGTTCTCACCACTCTTGCGGTCCGTTCGTCGTCTCCTGCTTTTCAAAACGACCGTCACAGCACAACTCCCCTCCTTCACATCAGCTCTTCCGATTCAAACTCTGGAAGTGAAGCCATATCTACTGAAGAAGTCTCAAAAGAAAACAACAAGCCATCACCTTTTACAGAACCCTCTTCGCCCCCACAGCCTGCTAGTTTGACCTATGACCCCTTAGCTCAGCCCAGCTCGGAGGCCCAATCGCCAGCCTCAGAGACCCAGTTTGACTCGTCTGACCTGCACTCACATCATTTACCTCTGGATGACCATCTTTACTTCTCCAGTGCTGCTGCTCCTCCCTCCCCTCCCA